AATACGAGTGAACATTCGGACAATACGAGTGAACATTTTTCTTGAAAATGAAAATTTGGTTCAGTTTAATTCTCGTTTGAAAAACGAATATTCATTTTAAGTTTTACTTGAGTTTTGAAATATGGTCGAAATTTTGACCTTTTCAACTTCTTTTAGGTTGAGTCAGAACACTATGGTCAATCCAACCATGAATTTTGTTCGAAAAAGATCACATGTCTTCATGTTCTTCTTCACTAAAAATAGCTGAATGTAAAAGTCCATATATTTGTATGTGACTCACGGATCCCAGATCTTCTGATTTTAGCAGAAAAATTCTGATTTTTAGTACTTTTTCTGCCTCGTTCCTGCTCTTTTTTGCTCTAAGGTCTACTGATTTTCTATTTCTTTTGCTCAGTTTGTGCTGATTTTTGTGTTTTGAATCTGGGATCCCTGATACGAGTATTGAAATTAGGAAGAAAAATACGTCGTCTATTGAAACTAGTGTACGAAGGAACACGACAGTAAATATTTCGACTATATTTGAAAAGTTCACAACATATGTCTTGTCTTTTCTGTTTTCTTCTCTGTGAAACCTTGGAAAAATAACTTCTTTTAAATGCGATTTTCGGATTCTCCCTCCAAAGTCAACTATACATCCACGTTTTAGCCTTTCAAAAGTTTTCAATTTTTTTCAATGCGCGAGATTAGTCATCGCATTTTAAGTGGCGCTACTATTCACCCCAAAATGCGAAAAGTGCAATACTCGCACGTAATAATAATGCGTAAATTCAGATAGATCAATAAGAATACGCCGAAGTAAAATAAGAAACAAAGGAAATAAATAAACAAAAATGGATAGCGAAATATAACAGAATTATGCAAGAATATTTCCATGACTTTCCTTGACGAAATTCACAAAACATTTTGGAAAATTAACACACGGTTTTGCGAAATTCTGCAAGTTTTGGAAAAGTCCTGGAAACAGTTGTGACAATATTCCTGCATAATTTCGTTATGGGTCTGTGTACATGAAGGTCTAGGATGGGCGCTACTATTCGCGCCAAAATGCGAAAAGTGATTTGAATTAAAAGGTGCTTTGCTGACCGTCGATTCATATAATAAGCTCTTCAGAAATAAATTTGACCCGATTCTGTTCTGCGTATAAAAAGTCGATTTTGCGCTAATGATCGCTTCACTGAGGATCAAGTCATCCACCCGCACCCTCACAAACATTAATTGGTGCTATTGTAATGTCACACTTTTTCAATTCACAATTGTTTCTATTCTATTTACGAATGTTCAGTCGTATTCTCCTATGTGATGCAGCACATGGTCACGTATACTTATCTGAAGAAGCACGTGACGAGAAACAATTGTGAATTGAAAAAGGCTGACATTGCAATACAACTAATTAATATTTGTGATGGTGAGGCACAGTGTGCATCCAGGCGACATTAGGTGAAAAAATGAAAATCGACTTTTCGACGATTCAAATCAGTATCAGTAAAAAGAAAATTTTATATTAGACTTATGATAGCTCAGAAAATTAAAAACAAATTTCTCAAGCGATTTCCAAAGGGGTAAGTTTAGTATAGTGAGCGCGCGAAAGTTAGCGAAGGTTCAAACTTAACCAAACTTTCACAGAATGTTCTCCTATATGCCCTGCATCTACGGTGAAAGCGCAAAAATGCGCAAATGTTTCTGAAGCATACAGCGGGTTTTCCAAACAACCAGAGTTTTTCAGGTATTTTCCATTTTTCTCGGTTCGGAAACGTTTTTATTCGACAAAAATTACATATTCGGAATCAGCGTAAGAAACTACATCGAATGATGTGCGATTAGTAGGTGTTTTTTAGCAAAAACTTGTTGGATTTAACGGAACGCTAGAGTCGAAGCATAGCGTGACAATTTTGGCTAAGTATTTTGATATTTGCTATAGAAGCAGTCCGAAAGTCTATACATACTTTTTTACAGGTTTTCAGATATGCTCTTTCCAATGCCGGGCTTTACAAAGTTCCAGAGTACTAACGTGTGGGTTTTCTAGAGAGCCGACCTCTGGAGAACCGAGATGAAAGTCTCTTGGAACTTTGTAAAGCACGCCATTGGAAAGAGCATATCTGGAAACCTATAAAAAGGTGGTTATCGACTTTCGGACTGCTTCTGTAGCAAATGTCCGTCTGACCTATGGAAAAATACACACAGTGTTTCTGAGCTATCATAAGTCTAATATAAAATTTTCTTTTTACTGATCTATAGCTGATGTCATGCAGATTTAGAATATATGCCTTTTTTTATTACAGCTTCATTGACTGCAGTGAAAATTTCATTTCTTTCACTTATACTACTATTTCAGGCTAATTTTTGATTAACTGTTTTCCCGCGATACATCAGTTTTGCAACAAAATTTGTTGTGTCATCAAATAGAGCATCTCGTGAAGTATATTAATCATTATTTGAATCGTCGAAAAGTCGATTTTCATTTTTTCACCTAATGTCGCCTGGATGCACACTGTGCCTCATCATCACAAATATTAATTAGTTGTATTGCAATGTCAGCCTTTTTCAATTCACAATTGTTTCTCGTCACGTGCTTCTTCAGATAAGTATACGTGACCATGTGCTGCATCACATAGGAGAATACGACTGAACATTCGTAAATAGAATAGAAACAATTGTGAATTGAAAAAGTGTGACATTACAATAGCACCAATTAATGTTTGTGAGGGTGCGGGTGGATGACTTGATCCTCAGTGAAGCGATCATTAGCGCAAAATCGACTTTTTATACGCAGAACAGAATCGGGTCAAATTTATTTCTGAAGAGCTTATTAAATGAATCGACGGTCAGCAAAGTATCTCTTGATTCAAATCACTTTTCGCATTTTGGCGCGAATAGTAGCGCCCCTTAAAACGCGATGACTAATGTCGCGCTATTCCTGTCTTCTTCTTCTTCTTATAATATTATAATCTATAATATAACACGCAAGGGAGAATTGAGTGTTTGTTTGATTCTAAAGATTGATTATCAATCGGTTTCGCTTTTATTAAAACAAAAGCTCTTCAGGGTATCTCTTTATAATAATTTGTAATAATATCGATATCGATATCCAAATTCATATCAGAATCGATTCAGTGGCTATAATTATAGCCCGTACCGATACGATTACAGACAAAATGGAGCCGGAGGTCGGAGTAATGGCCCGTATCGAAATTATCGAAACCGTTATAGCCGGGAATGATTTAGCGGCCAAAACCAAGCCCCTTTTCGTCCTCAACAACGACAACAACAGCAACGATCAGGTAATCAATACCCGACACAGCAACAAATAGTGCCGCCGAATAATACGGTGATCTCGAAACCACCACTGACAAAAAGTTTCTTTAGACGTCAGCGTCGAAATAGAAATAGATTTCAAAGCTGCTCAGGTTACGAATAAAAACTTAGGATAAAAAATAACAGGTTTGCTGCTCTAGCTGAATTCGGCAATCAAAACGATAACGACGTTGATCGAAATCAGGAGCAGACAACGGCGGCGAATATGCCCACAGTTTCTAGTCGTCCTGCTGGAAAACAGAAAAAACAACCCTGTCGTTTGGCAGCGGAAGACGAAGACGAAGGACAGGAGCCCTTATCGAAAGCAGTGCCCCTTTGCGATGATGATAAAAAATTCAAAAATCGGCCTTATTTAGAGCCCGTTCGTATTCGTGCTCATTTGAATACATTAGCCGAACGAACCTCAACCCGCGGCTCTTATGCTTGGCCCAGGTTTTATGCTCCCACAGAATCGATGAAAGTCGGATGGACGTATCAGAAGACGAGCGTGGCCTTTTAAAATTAGGCCCCAAGTATGTCCCAAATGACCCTAAAGCAGCTGAGTCTAGAAGACCAGAAGCACTCGAAAAGGCACGCCGCAAGATTAGCGACCGTCTTGTAGAGAGAGGAGTTCATGGTGTATATATTTTCTTATTATTTTAAGTGTTTGTATTCGTGTTCTAGATATCCTGAAGATCTTTTGTTTTAATAAAAGCGAAACCGATTAGTAATCAATCTTTAGAATCAGACAAACACTCAATTCTCCCTTCCGTGTCATTAGTGCTTTTATAGCCAGTCTCTTTCTAGAAGATTAGGGTACAACACTGGAAACAACTGCGAATTGCAAAAGTGTGACATTACAATACCACCAATTAATATTTGTAAGGGTGAGGATAGGTGAGGGGGACTGGAAGACAGTATTACGTAACTATCTTTTGTACACAAATCTAGAATCCTAGACCTTCATGTACACAGACCCATAACGAAATTATGCAGGAATATTGTCACAACTGTTTCCAGGACTTTTCCAAAACTTGCAGAATTTCGCAAAACCGTGTG